ACCGCCTGCTCCACCCCCACCTCCCGCCGAAGAGGCCGCTTCGCCGACCCCGCCGCCGCCGCTGCCGTCGCTGTCGTGGTGGTGGTCGTACGCGAGGAGGGCAGCGTACGCAGGGACGACGACGAGCCGGCGGCAGTGAAGGTGCGCCGGAGGGGCCGCGGGAGGGAGGCGCACGACGACCTCAACGACGACGACGAGGACGAGGAGGCGTGGAAAGTGGCGCCGGAGGTGCCGTTGCATGAGGCGAGGAGGAGGAGAGGGCGGACGCTGAGCATCGGCAGCGAGGAGGCGACTGGCGGAGAAGATGTGAATGTAGATGGAGGAGAAGCGGGAGGGGCGCGATGGCCAGCATGCTGGAGTGTGCCGACGTGCACAGGAGCACGTGCCCGCCCCTGCACACAAGCGTGCGGCAAATAGCGCCTCAGCATGTGGTGGTGCAGACAGTTGGCCTTGCTCAGGCTTCTTTGTTCTGTTTTCCTTTCTATTTTTCTTGTTTGCCTTTTTTTTCTGTTTGCTGTTTTTTGTTTTATATTTGTGGCATTTTAAAGAACTGGGGATGATATTTCGGCGCCCATTTTGGGACGAGGAAGCGCTCTCTGCCTGTACAAGCGGACACCACCTCGTCGTCGTCGTCGTCGTCAAGAGGTGGGTTGGCGGTGATGATGAGGAGGAATGTTGGAAGCGCAGCGGAGGCGGCGGGTGAGTGAGGGAGTGAGTGACTACAGGAGATGATCGAAGATCGATGTGTCGGCAATGTCGGTGCCGCTGCCCTCGCTGCCGGCCACGAGGAAGCTCTGGGCCGTGGTGGCATCATCGGCCTGGCTGGCGGCACCGCTGGCCTCGTCCGGGTCGTCTGGGTGATGTTCCGACGAGGGGAGGTCGCCGACGGCGAGGTGGTCCACCGCGGGCACCACCGACGTCGGGACGACGGCAGCAGCGGCGGCGGTGGCCATGGCGGTGGTGCCAAAGTCAGCCGGGAGGCCGAGGATGGCGCGCGAGGAGTATTCGTCCGAGTACCACGGGGGCAGGGTGTCCCTCCACTCGCTGCCGCCGGCGACGTGCTGGTGGAGGGTCTGCGTGATGGGGTGGATGCCGTATTGGGTGGTGAAGGGGAGTGGGTTGACCGACGGGTGGAGCACGTTGGGCTCCAGCACGTCCAGTTTGCCGGCCAGGCTCATTCCGGCGGCGCCATCCTCGCCCCCGCTGGCGAGGGTGACGGGTGCAGATTCTGCCACGCCGATATCGGGCAGCTTGGCCGAGAACGCCGACATTCTCGGTCCCATGGTGTGCGGAGAGAAGGGAGAGAAGGAGACCGGGCCACCACCAGGCATCGCCATGTGGTGGGGGTGCGGACGAGACGAAGAGGAGGAAGAGGAGGTGTGAGGAGGCTGGACGGCGGAGAGGATTCTGGGGAGCTGATCGAGCGGGTACGGCCTCATCAGAAGCGCCCGTCCTGGAATGTGGTCGTTTACGTTCCAACGTGAACATTGAGAGTGAGAGAGAGAGATCATGGAAGCGTCTAGCCAAGAGCGAAGGCGTGTGTGTAGTGTGCACGTACCGAGCGGGCTGTCGTAGGGCACGCTGGCCAGGTCGGCGTCTGTGAAGGGAGGGGCTTGCCAGGTGGATACGCCGTCCCAGTCGAGAATGTCGGCATCAAGAAAAGCGGGCGAGAGCTCGCTCTCTTCGCTTGCCGCGTCGCTGGGAAGTTCCTGCTTGGCGTTCTTCCTCTTTGTCCCCTTGGTGCTCGTGCTCGTGGTGTGCGTCTTCTTGATCTTGACTGTTGTGCGGAGAGGGAAGCGTGTGAGCTCGTAGTCACCTCGCCCGCCGCGTAGCGAGTAGTGGAGAGTAGTAGAAGTACCGAGCGAGTTCGGATTAGTGATGAGGTATCGCTTCTTATTGACAAGGGCGGCGATCTCTTGCTTGATCCGCTCTTCATCTTCCGGACTCTTTGGTGAGATCGCCTGCAAGGACCCTATCATCTTGTCCAAGCTGCCCGTGCAGATGGTCAAAAAAATCTGCTCCTCCTACAAGACGTGCCCATAGGGAGCAAGAAGGGGAGCTCTGGTACCTTTTGATCTTGCGGTGAGGCCACCTGGCATGGGCAAAAACAACCAATTAACTAGAGCTGCGCAATGACCAGACGGGGGGGTTCCATACCTGGGGATGCCATTCTTTCTGCATATCTTCTTGAGCACGGTCGCACAAACCTGCACCCAACGAATTGGATTGAGTTAATCGGAGGATCCCGATTAGCGGAATGGGATCAAGCACGTACCCCCAGTTCCTTCGCGACCGCATTGATAGGAAGGTGAAAGTATTTTGTGAGTTGCTCCAGGCCAATGTCTTGACTGTGAGGCATGATGGCCCAGATATTCCGGCCGAGTAGCAGCAGATGGATGCGATCGAGCAAGAGGCTTTCGGGCAGATGCTGGATTCGATCTTTCTCGTGAGGTGCGTTGCCAGAGGAAGGAGAAGGCAGGGGCAGGAGTAGTAGTGCTCGTCCTCTTCCTCTGCTTACCTCCTTTTTCTTCTTTTGGTATTTGTTCTCTGCTTTATTTTTGTTTTTCGACGGACACTGTCGACATCAGTTCTGGAGGAATGCTCCTGCCTCGAATTCCGCAGTTCATTCCGAACGCGCCGCGCAAGATTCGACCTCGCGCCCATTTGATCACAATTTGATATCGATGAGTGCCACTGTTGGGGAGCAGCGCGCGGCCTCTGCTCTACGGGGCGCACTGCAGGAGGTGCAGCTGGTGCATGGGCTCCTCGATGAGTACGACACTACCCGGGACAAGAAAAAGCTGACGGAGGTGTCCCTCAAGATGAAACACATCCTTCCCACCATCAAGGTACAAAAATCACCTCGAGCTGTCGATCATGGGTCGGGCAGTCTGAGGATCCCCAGACACTGCATTCTTCTCCCATTCAATTTAATAAAAAATAGAAAAATAGAAAAAGAACGCTTACATGGCTGGGTGAAGGAGCTGTCCACAGACCCCGAGTGCAAGACAAAGGCCAACGCGCCGCTCCTCATCGAGCTGAGCACGGGCATGAAGGACGCCGTGGCCCGCACCAAGAACTTCAGCACGGAGGCCTCCTCCACCACCACCACCACGCGACAGCCCTCCCCCCTCTCCTCCGCCGTCTCCGCCGCGTCGCCGCTCCCTACTCCCACCACAGAGCCCCTCTCCCGGCACGCCGCCAGCGGCTGGCTCAACAAACTCGGCGACAAGGGTACCACACAAACTCAGCCTCGTGTGCCGTGTGCCGTGTGCCGTGTGCGTGTCGTTGGTTATGTGCCGTGTGCCGTCGATGAGTGTGTTTGTGTGACATTCATTTATGGGAACAGGGCTGATCAAGTCGTGGAAGAAGCGGTGGTTCGCCCAGCGAGCCGAGCGGCTGTACTACTACGAGACCAAGGAGGAGACCGGCCTGAAGGGGTTCGTCGACCTGACCCTCGTCACGGCCGTCGCCGAGTCGCCCAAGGTCAAGCACGGCTTCGAGCTCCGCACCAAGGACCGCATCTACTACCTCCAGGCCGCCACCGACGACGAACGCGCCCAGTGGATGCAGATGCTCTCCTCCTGGTAACCACTACTCAATCCCCTCGCTCTTCTTCTTCTTCTTCTTCTTCTTTTTCTTCTTCTGGGACTGTTGGCTCACCCCGCTCGCCGCGGCATACGTCGTGTGTGCGCTCCAGGCTGGACGGACGGTCACCACAGAAGGCGCCGACCACGCCGACCCCATCGGCCGGCGCCACCACCAGCAGCAGCAACGGCGGTCCCACGCCGTTGAGCCAAAGCGCGCGGCGCACGCTCTCCTTCTCGCAGAACCCGCAGCAGAACGACGGCCCGCAGCGAAATCGGGGCGAGACGGTGCCCGTGGCGCCGGCGGGTGAGGCGTGGGCCTACGGGACCCGCGAGCGGGCGCCCTCCCTCGTCGCGGAGCCGGCGGGCGTGTCCACGGGCCGCGCCGCCCGCGAGCTCTCCATCGAACGGAGCGGCGGGGCCGACCAGTCGGGCACGACGCCCAGCAGCTTCCGCGAGGAGGAGATCCGCGCCCTCCAGCAGAAGCTCCTCTCGCTCGAGGCCAAGCTCGACACCTCCGCCAAGAGCGTGCCCACGCGCGCCCTCGCCCCCGACACACCCTCCTCCTCGTCGTCGTCGTCGCCCTCCACCTCGCCTTCGCCTTCGCCCTCCACCCACGCCCCGGCCATCACCTCCCCTGCCCCGGCCGCCGCCGCCGCTGCTGCAGAGGAGCAGCTGCGGGCGATGGAGAAGAAACTGGCGGCGGCCGAGGAGGAGGCCAGGCGCGCCACGGCTCGGCTCGAGCACCTCAAAGAAAAGTACAGCGCCAGCAAGCACAAAACCAAGGTACCTTGAATAATAATAATAACAATAATAACAAAAACAAGACAACAATAACATTGCAATCGATTGAGTTGGACTTTGACTTGAGACGTGAATTGACTTTGACCTTCGGGTTCCAGACGGCAGAGCAGCGGATCGAGGGCCTGACGGAGGACGTGAACCACCTGACCAAGGAGAGCAGGGCCAAGGACGAACACATCGCCTCGCTCAAGGCCTCCGCGGCGTCCAGCGCCTCCAGCGCCGCACCGCCGGCTACTCAGCTGGTACGTGGTGCCTCCTCTCTCCCCCCCCCAATCCGACGGCGCGGCGGCGGCGGATGGACACGAGCGCGTGCCTGCTGATATGCCGACCCACGCCGCAGGAGGAGACCATCGCGCAGCTGCGTCAGGCCACGCATGCCCACCAGACCCAGAACGCCTACCTCGCCTCCGAGGTACCCACGATCGATGCCCGATGCATGCCATCTCTCCTCCTCCTCCTCCTCCTCCTCCCGCTTCTCGCTCACACTGGCCCACCCTTGGTCGGCCGCCGGTTTCAGATCAAGAAGCTGCAGCGAGAGCACACCATCGAGCTGGCCTCCCGGGACGAGCAGCTCGACGGCCTGCGCGCGCAGCTGGAGCTCGCACGCAGCAGCTCCGCCTCCGATAGCTCGATCGAGGCCGAGTTCGCTGCCCTGCAGAGACTGTACGCGCACCCATTCCACTTGCCGCAACGTCATTGTTGAATGGCGTTGTCTTCCACTCGAAAACTCTTGCTTACGATGCGGACGCGCATGTGTGTCTGTGACCAGATATTTCTCGGCATTGGCCGTGGGGATCAAGCTCAACCTCATGCTCCAGGGCCAGCCCTGCAACATCGACGCCGCCTCCCTCTGGAGCAAGGTCCTCCTCCTCCTCCTCCTCTCTCTCTCTCCCCCACACTCTTCTGTGCGCTGATGGGGTGTGATGTGCCACCGCTGCAGGCGCAGGCGCTCAACCTGCACTTCTCCAAGTGGAACGAATGGGTCCTCGCCCGATACGAGGAGGCCTTCGACGACTGAGGCCCGCCTACACCACACTCCATGTACACACACCCCCCTTTTATCGCGGCCCAACCCGGTGCGTCATGCACAAATAAAGTCCGAAGCTCCGGTCCACCCAACAAACTTGGTCGTCTGGCACCACAAGAGAACAGAACACGCAAGACACAAGAGAGATGGGGAAGAAGAAGACGTTGGCCGCCGCGCGCACCGACCCCCTTTCGCGGGGCATGGCCGTGGACCCCTTCGATGAGAACCGCTGCTGCAACTGCGGTATGCCCCCCCCCCAAATTGGGAGTTCTCTTCTCTTCCCTCCCCCCCCCTTTCAAATGAGCGAAAGAGCGAAGTGGGGGCTCACTTGGTTGTGGGGGGATAGGACCGTGGAAAGAGGACGGCTGCTGTGCGTGGTGTTGTGCATGCTGCAACTTGGCCTCCGCCAACACAACTATTGCTGTGCGTACCTCCTCTCCCTGTCCTTCTCCCACCTCCACATGCACTCAACAGACTTGTGCAGGTGGGACTTGTGACTGGCATTGTTGTGGTGGCTCTCATGTGTGCTGTTGTGGTACTGGCTGGTGGTTATGTCACACCACAGTAACGGATAAATGCCACTGGTGTAAAATAAAGAAAAACTTTGTCTTTTCAGCCAACTAACTGATCACAGGGGTGTATCCAACACAATGCTGTTTTGGCGTTGTCCCAAATGGTTTGTAGTGTCACAAAAACTGTTGGGTGCAGCAGACATCAGCTGAAAAGGCCTCTTCTCTGCACACAACTTATCCCACTGCCCAAACAGCATCTTCAAAGGGCAATGTGTGGAATGTGAAGCAAAGTGTTGGCCAAGGGATGTAACTACACAAGTGCACTATGCCATCATGAGTGCACCATCAAGAATTTTGAAGTCTGGACAGCTCTGAGCCTTCAAAAATTAGTTTTCAACCAGCTGATCCCTTGAAGAGAAAGGTCATTTCTGAAGGCTTTTTAGCCAGTGTGGTTGTGCTCACTCTTCATATCATTAGCACACATCAGATGAACCAACAACCCCAAACACAATCTTGGTCAGCCCTGTTGGCACCCACCACCCAACACACAGTTTTGCACTCAATCAAAGCAATTATCAACTTCATTTACTCTCTACCCTTGCACACCAAGACCCACTGCCCATATCCCAGGTCCCCCAGGTCAGCAGGGCCAGGTCATCAGGGCCTCCTCCTCCTTCATCACCTGCATGTGCAGTGGACATGGAGAGAGTGTGCAGAATGCTGTGCACACTCAAGGACAACCTCACTGTTACATAGCAACTGCACTGACACCAACTGGAGCAAAAGGCAGCCCAGGCCAACCAATGCACTGCTGACTGATGAGCCACTGACCAAGGCCCACCTGCTCAGATCTCCCCACCTTTTTTTTTACACAATCATGCACACAACATGACATGACACAACACCACCACACAACTATTGGGTGGTGGTCACCATCCCATCAACTTCAGACTAGAACTCAACCCAATCTTCTTTGCCAAAAAGGTGCACTTCTTCCCAAGTGTGATTTTGTTTTTTTTTTTTTTTTTGTTATATATATAATAGAGCAACAGTCATATGGGTCCTGTGGGTCCTAGTGGTGACACATGTCTTTGGACAGCACTGACAGTTGTGCATTCTCTTCACTTGTGGCACTTGCCAATGACAATGATGACTGATTCCCACTTTGACATGGGGAAGTGTTACTGCTACATACCTGGGTGCTGATGCTGATGGCCATTTGTTATGCTGGTGTGCAGTTGAATACAAGTGCTGTTGCCAGGTGGAGACCTGGTTGTACTTTTCCCTGTACACTTGGCCTTCCTCTTGGGGAACTCCCTTTCAGACCCCACAAACCTGTGGCTAGATGTGTACTGTGGAGGGAATGGACCATGAACTGGGTGCCTTCACTGCATAATTCAAATAAGGTATCAACAATGCCTGCTTTACATTCCGTCCCAGGTTTCGTTTTGTGGCCGCGTTGGCGCTCACTCCAATCAGCAAGCAGAAGAAGATGAGCAGCACGACGAGCAGCGCCAACGACGGCAGCCTGACGGTGGCCGCCCTCCTGAACCAGATCAGCGAGGTGCAGAAGCTCCTCGCAGAGGGGCGATCGGTCGATGAGACCGATGACTGGGGTGATTCGGCCCTCCATGCGGCCGCCCTCAAGGGCCGCCTCACCGTGGCCAAGCTCCTCATCGACAAGGGCGCCGACGTCAACAAGACCAACAACGCTGGCTCTACGCCCCTCCACAAGGCCGTTGTGAGCGGCAATGCGCACCTCATCGAGCTCCTCATGCAGCACGGCGCTGACGGAGATCTGCGCAACCACGCGGGCCTCCTGCCCGAGGACTACACCAAGAAGAAGAGCCTTAAGCTCATGGTCCTCGGCAAGTCCGCCGTCGAGATCAAGGTGCCCGTCCCGCGCGCCATGCGTGGCCTCGTCATCGGCCAGGGCGGCAAGACCCTCAAGCGCATCCGCACCGCCAGCGGCGCCGACGTCGCCTTCCCGCTCGACGAGGAGGTGGAGGAGGTCGTCATCCGCGGCCGCGCCGAGGCCACGGAGAAGGCCCGCGAGCTCGTCGAGGAGATCGTCAACAAGCGCAAGGAAGTCGAAGCCGTCGTACGTAACCCAGACCTTTCTCTTGCGCGTAGTGTCACCATGGCGCCAACGGTATTCTGGAGTGAGAGATGATGACGATTTTCTTTGAAGTCGTTGACGATCTGACTTGTACAAATCGATTTGTTGTTGACCGGAGAGCAGAGGGAGGCGAAGGAGAAGGAGTTCTACAGCGGCGACTACACTCGCATCACGGTGAGGGTCCCCAAGCACCAGCACAAGCTGATCATCGGCGCGGGCGGTAAGACCATTCGCGAGATCATCAAGGAGACCGGCGCTAAGATCAAGATCCCCCCCGGCGACGACGACGATGAGGAGGTCGTCATCGAGGGCTCGCCCGAGGCCGTCGACCAGGCCGCCGAGAGGGTGACCAAGGCCACCATGTTCCAGGAGCGCGTACGTGACACCCTCATTCCGTCCTTTTCGTGCGCGGCGCTCACGTGGAATGGGTGTGTGCGTGTGCGTGTGGGACACAGGACAACGCTGGCGGTGGTGGCGGAAGAGGCCGCGGCCGTCCGAGACGTGAGGAGGGCGAGGAGTCCGGCGGTTACGGTGGTGGTGACCGTGGTACGTGGCATCTTCGTTCACCACACGACACACGACCGCAAGGTGCGGAAGAGATGTGCTGACCTGTGTGATGTGTGTGCGGCACACAGAGGAGAGGAGGTTCGGCGAGGGCGGTGGCGGTAGGGGCCGTGGCGGCGGTGGACGCGGTCGTGACCGCGAGGGCGGCGAGAGGCAGGGGTCCAACATCACGCTGGCCTCCTTCCTCGTGCCCTCCCGCAGCGCCGGCCGCAGGCGTGGCGACAACTGACCAGCCACCCTCCCCCGCAACTGCCACGCCGCGGCATAGATGATGTCGCGGTGGCCTCACCCCTCTTCTGGCCCACAGCTGCTGCTGCTCCACTAAAGTCTGTTGCCTGCGCTTGCACAACTCTTCTCTGTATTGATTGCCGAGACATGGGACATCACAACACGTCGCACGAGGAATTGGCAGAACGTTGAAGGTTGAAGTGGTCGCTTGGCTTGGCTTGGTGGAGGGTCGCCGCCCTCGACGTCTACTCGGAGAGGGGGAGCTCGCCAGAGTCGGCGATGGTAAGGGTGGCGCTGGGCTTGCCGGACTGGCTGCCGAGCGACTCGAGCTTCTTGATGATGTCGTAGCCCTCGAGCACCTTGCCGAACACGACGTGCTTACCCTGTTTTGAGCGCGCGAAACGAGTCAGCTTCCGTACGGGGGGGGGGGCAAAAGGGGAGCGTGCTGTGTGTGGTGCGTACGTCCAACCAGGGGGTGGCCACGGTGGTGATGAAGAACTGCGAGCCGTTGGCTGTGCGGAACACACAGAAGTGTTAGCGCGAGGCAGGGCAGAGGAGGAGTGGGGAGGGGAGGGGTGGGGTGACGGTACTGTCCTTGCCGGCGTTGGCCATGCTGAGGAGACCGGGGGTGGTGTGCTTCAGCTTGAAGTTCTCATCAGCGAACCTGTCGCCGTAGATGGACTCACCGCCCACACCAGTGCCGTGGGTGAAGTCGCCGCCTGCGGAATCGGACTGCGCCGTGAGACGAGCGAAAGAAAAGGGGAGAGCTCTGGCGGAAGGAGGAGACCTTGGATCATGAAGTTGGGGATAACCCTGTGGAAGGAAGAGCCCTTGTAGTGGAGCGGCTTGCCCTTGCTGCCGACGCCCTTCTCGCCAGTGCACAGCGCACGGAAGTTCTCGACGGTCTTGGGCACGGTGCCGCCATACAGACTGCGGACCGCGGCAAACGCGCTCAATACGACCGCCTACTCATCGATGAATCGTGGCAGTGGAGGAGGGGAGCATACCCGAACACCACACGACCCTCAAGCTTGCCATCGATTTCTGCGTTCGGCGTAGAGGGACATGAATTTCATCCCGCGTAAAAAGGCGTGAATTGTGAGAAAGAGGCAGCGCACCGATGTCGAAGTAGACCTTGTTGGTAATCTTGGGTCCCTTCTTGTCCTGTAATGAGATGTTGGTGAGGCTACATGCTAAGTACAAACAGCCACAGAAAAGAAAGAGCAGTCATCGTACCGCCTCAGCCTGAGCGAGCACGCTCAAAACGCAGAGAACGGCAACGAGGAGGAGAGAAAGCTTCATCTTGGCTACACGTTCTTCGCGGTGGAGATGAATGTGAACGCAGAAAAACAAAGCCGGCAAAATAGAACACGCCCTCTGACGTCAGAGCGTGACGTCAGCAGCAACAAAAAAAAAAGAAAAAGGAAGAACGCCAAGTAGCTCAGGAATGCAAGGAGGCCGATGGGAAATAGTGTGGAATGGGTGGAGTTCCGATCCGGCGGGGAAAGGAAACTTCGGAGGGATTGATATGTGCGGACAGAGGGGGGCTATAAGAGGGGGGCGGGGACTTCGGGGGCCGGTTTGCGCTCTCTTCTTCTCCTTCCCTCCATCCGTTCATCCATCCGTGCTGCTGTGTGTAGTGTTTCCTCTTCTCCACCAAGAAGTCGTCCTCCATCCTCCAGCACCGATCAAAAACCAAAAAAATCAAGAAAACCCCAAAAAGACAAAAAAATCCAGAAAACCCCCAAATCGCATCGACATCGTCAATGGCTGCCAACTCTCCCTACCAGTCTGCTTCGCTCTACGTGGGTGATCTCAACCCCACCGTTACGGAGGCTCTCCTCTTCGAGATCTTCAAGGCCGTCGGACCCGTGGCCTCCATCCGCGTGTGCCGCGATGCGGTGACGAGGCGCTCGCTGGGCTACGCGTACGTCAACTTCCACAACGTGGTCGATGCCGAGCGCGCCCTCGACACGCTCAACTACACCCTGATCAAGGGCCGCCCGTGCCGCATCATGTGGTCGCACCGCGATCCGTCCATCCGCAAGTCGGGCCAGGGCAACATCTTCATCAAGAACCTCGACAAGAGCATCGACAACAAGGCGCTCTACGATACGTTCTCGGCCTTTGGCAACATCCTGTCGTGCAAGGTGGTGACCGACGGCAAGGGCAACAGCAAGGGCTACGGCTTCGTGCACTACGAGACCAGCGAGGCGGCCGACTCTGCCATCGCCAAGGTCAACGGCAAGATGCTGAACGGCAAGATCGTCTACGTCGGCCGATTCATCGCGCGCAAGGAGCGCACCCCCGGCAGCGACCCCGAGAAGTTCACCAACATTTACATCAAGAACCTCGGCGAGGCCTACACCGAGGAGGACCTCAAGCGCGACTTTGGCGCCTTCGGTACGGTGCAGAGCGCAGTCCTGATGAAGGACCCGCGCGACATCGGCCGCCAGTTCGCCTTTGTCAATTTCGAGGATCACGAGGCCGCCCACCGCGCCACCGAGGAGCTCAACGGCCGCAAGCTCGGCGACAAGGAGGTCTACGTCGGCCGCGCCCAGAAGAAGTCCGAGCGCGAGTCCTTCCTCCGCAAGCTCCGCGAGGAGCGTGCCCAGAAGTACCAGGGCATCAACCTCTACATCAAGAACCTCGATGACACCGTCAACGACGAGGAGCTCCACAAGCTCTTCTCGGCGCTCCCCTTCGGCCAGATCACCTCCTGCAAGGTCATGTCCGACGACAAGGGCAACTCCCGCGGCTTCGGCTTCGTCTGCTACACCAACCCCGAGGACGCCTCCAAGGCCGTCTCGGAGATGAACGGCAAGATGGTCGCCAACAAGCCCATCTACGTCGCCCTCGCCGAGCGCAAGGACGTACGCTCCGCCAAGCTCGCCGCCCAGCACGCCGCCCGTGCCGCCGCCCGCGTCGCCGGCAACGCCGGCCTCGCCGGTGCCCCCATGGCCTACCCGGGCTTCTAC